ATTTTTTTTCATAATTTTATATTAAATAAAAATTTATTAATTTTAAAATTATATTTTTATACATTTTTTTAAATTTTAAAATTAATTCTTGACCAAATTCTAGGTTCAGGAATTACAAAAATTATGATTAACTTTTGCATGTCAAGTAGTTAATATAAATGCAATAATGAAATCAATGAAAAAATTTGTACTTATGTGATAAATTAATAAACTAATCAATCATTTGTCTTTTAAGATTATTACCAATAATACAAGAGTTTTAGAAGTTGCTTGGTTACTTTTTATAAATAATGTTAGGCATTTTATTGGACTTTATTCTTTTCGTAATTTTGTGTAGGTAAAAACATATCTACCATGTAGAGTTACATATGTAAATTAAACATAAACAATATATTAAATTGTAACTCACAAATTATTTTTAATAATTATATTTTTTATTTAATATTCACATAATGTTTTATCTTAGTATTACTTTCGAACCCATATTTATATTTTACATAAATAAAAATTTGTTAACAATTTTTTTTTTAAGAAAAAGCTCATGCAAAATTTATTTAGAATAAATCAAATTAAGATGACAACATTATTCCAAACAATAAAGAGACCAAAAAAAATTTAAAAAGTATACTTAATTATAGTGATTAATAATAATATGGTCTGCGAGGCTATTCACAAAATTCACCGTCTTAGTTTCCTTGTTCAACTTCAGCATCTTAGGGTTAGGGTGAAGAATATTATAGATATTGTAGCCTATAATTATATGCATTTGTATAGATCTTCATTAGTCACTTCGAATGCAATCACGAATAAGGTCGGATAATTCTCAGCTACTTTGCAATAATTGTTTTTGAAATTTTATTTATCTGAAGTATTCAGATACTCTAATATAATAATATATATATATATATATATATATATATATGTTTTCTTTCCCATGCTGCATAATTAGGCTTTGACCCTTAGAAGTGGGGCTTTAGGTACCTACTCGTTGAATAAGCAAACCCCAAATTGACAAATTTGGTTGTCTTCCCTATTGAGGTAAAAGATCAAGATCGTGATATATATATATATGTATATAATCAATTATACGTTATGATTGATTGAGGTTATTTAATTCTGAGCCTATGGGTCTCATTAGACAAATGGAAAATCACAATTTCACTAATTGTATTCGGCATCTTTCTAAAGTCTAATCATGGGCTTTCTTATTTGAAACCCAGTAAGTACTTCTTGTGAGCTATTACTTTTTGGCAGGGCTTGTGAAAGAGGATTTTCTTCTTAGCTGATGATAATTTCAATTAATTTATTAAGTCCATAATCATAGTTTCAATATGTACAGTGTTAGCTAATAATGATTATATAGTTATGAAATTTAAATTATATATTTTAGGTCATGAACTAAATTTTTTTGTATAAATATAAAATATATTTTTACCCAAATTATTTTTATATTCTTTTAATGATCAATTATCTTGAATTGGCAGAATGTTTGTTGTTCAACACTTTAATTATTATGTTCATGTTTATTATTACTAATAATAATATGATTCTACCAATTAAGTTCTGACCAAGTCATCAAGTAATTTGTAAGTGATGGAGAAAATGCAAATTATACAAGAAGAAAATCCACTAAAACAAGGAAAGTATTCATCTAATCCTTAGTCTCTTATTGGTACATAAAAATACAATATATATATATATATATATATATCTATCCCCTGTGGGTCCATCATCCAATTACCTTGCATGGTAATTGTTAATTTATTATTTAACTTTCTACTTTCGTCATATTAGCTGTTGCACTCTTTTTTATTCAATTTTTATTTTTATGGGACCGTGTATCCTGCAGATAAATCCATACACCAAAATAAAAGTTAGTTAAAATATAAACTAATATTTGATGTTCAGGTAATATATAAGACAGAAAACTTTCTATTTTAATTATTTAAGTTAATTATCTAATTATGTTATTTTAGAAAATTCGTATGAGACTTTATAGTTTGGCATGGAAAACAAAATGCACGAGCACTTTTTTTTAAATGTGAATGGAGTATAAAGTTAAAAAAACAACATTATACTTACTTCCACATTTTTTCCCGGCTTGTCTGTTTTTAATATTGCATCTTTTTGGTATTGTAATGGCTATCCCGGGATTGATTCCGGCCTGCTTTGCCAATGGCGACAAGAGAACCGCACATAGACATCTCGGTGCTGTCCTCAGCAACGCACCCACTTTGGCACAGCAAGCCGGTGGAACATTTGCCCTCGCGTTCCCAGCTGCACCCAGGCACGGGCTCAAGCTGGCCGCCGCAGACCCAATTGGGGTACTCCCACATTCCCCTTCGGCCTCAATCAATCCCTGGCTCGCTATAAGCAACAGAAAAAGCAAGCCTACCTTGGTGCTCGGTGCCATTTCTTGCTGAGTCTTGTTGGTCCAAGTTTTGTTTGTCTTTAGTATATGAAGTTGAGTGTTTATATAGAGTAGGCGGAAGAGTTAGAATGGTGCTTTTCCGGTTAGTGGGGTGGTTGGAAAGAATTAAGGTGGAGGAAAGTTGTGGTTTGTGCTCTGGTTTATTCAAGATGTAATGATTTAATTCATTTGAAGGGAATTCAAGTCTATATTTTTTTATAATAAAATTAATTGGCTTATATTCAGTTCTTCCTTTTGTTTTCTCTGGAATTTTTATACAATTGGGCTTTTTTTTTTTTTTTTTTTTTCCATTGTTGGGTTTGGACATGGAGGAAAAGAAGAATAAGAAAAGAGAAAAGGTGGTGTGAACGTCTGACTTATGAAAGATTTCAGCCGGGAATGCTTGCAAATTACATTATTCTATCCACTATGATATGATATATGCATTATCAAGATTTCACATAAATTTTAATTTTTTTATTTCATTCAAATGGACATGTTATTTTTTTATGATATAATGAATATCGAATTGAAATTTGTGCAAATATACAACTATAGAAACTATAACTAGAAAAAAAATATACTCATTTACGAGACGAGACGATTGTTAAATAGATATCGATACGGAGTTAATTAGTAATCCACTCTAGTGAACATCCTTATTCATATCACTCATTAACAAACAACTTTAGGAGCTACAATTACTAGTAAATCAGTATGGATAAATCCTAATATGATCTAAACTAAATATTTCACTAATAGCTTGTTAAATCCATCATAACAAAATATGGATAAATCTTAATGTGATTCTCAAGTTAGAAAAAATTTGAAGATAAAATTATTAAATCTATCTTTAATCTATGTAAGAATCAGCTTGAGATTTAAATGGGTTATCATATAAGTTTATGCAAGAACTTAAACTCAAATCCTAAACAAGAATGCTGTTGACTATCTCTGGAAGACAAATTTAGTCATTTTGAGGGAATATTCGACGAGGAATGTCTTTGGAAGATTCACAAACCTCACCTATTCTATGTTAAAGGTATGCTCGATAAAAAACTAATTATGTGTTTATTGAATGAAAAAAGGATCATGTCAGGGAAAATAATCATATTACCACGAAAAATATCATCTACTTATACTATCAGAGTATTTGAGAGAACGTTCTTATTCACTTTAGTTTCGTGAAAGATTAGAAAAAATAAAGCTTCATCGCACGAGTTCTACATCTTCCTCTCGAGCATTCAAACAAATATTTCATAAGTATAAATTTTATCAATGCATTAGTTTTTCATTTGCACGAAAGAATAATGTATAAATTATAATTTGTTTTATTTATTAATTTGAATTCAAACAGAATTTGTTTTTTAATTAGATTTAATTTATGTTTATTTTTTAAATATAATATAATTAGTGTGAATTTATATTTTAAGAAATTTTGGTTCATATTGATCTTTTAAACAGTGGTAATTATTATTAAAAAATTTGATTTAGAGGTAAATTAATTTTTGAATCAGTAAAATAAATAAAAATTTAAATTTTCTTCGTGAAAAAAAAAAAAAAAAAAAATGCCATAATCAAGGCATTGTTTTTCTAATACCAAACATGCCATAATCAAGGCTCTAACGAATAAAAAGAATTCGAAAAGATCATCCAAACAACAACCCATGAAACAAGTTAATTAAAGACTTCCATTTTTTGTCACAAAAAATGTTCCAAACCGTGACCTCTTCTTCTCTTGTTTATTTCCCAGAAAAACACAAAAAGACATGGAGGTAAAGAAAAGAAGCAGAACCAGCAAACTGACCATCTTACTTGGGCTTTAGGTAATTTTAAACTGGAATTCAAGTTTTGGGCCGAGGGTTTATGATTTGCTAAGGATTTAATGAAAGGCTAAGGCCTATTAATCTTTGGGCCTCATTCCCATAAATTTAAAATTCAACTCAAAACTAAATTTTCCAATTAAAAATTTTAACTATATATTTCAGTAAAAATTACACTAGACCTTCCAATTACAATTAGACAGTCTATGAAATCAAATGTTTTAAATTAAAAATTGTTTAATTAAAAAATTACTGATTTTAAAATTGATGCAACTAGAAATTCTACTAATTTTTGAATTAAATTTTGTCTAGTTTAAGACTGCACGACAATTGTACGCGTTGGTGTTTTTTTTATTAACTGTTTAAATAAAATAATAGTGTGAAGTTAAAAATAATACTTGTTAAGATAATTCTGTAGCTTTTTGTTTAAGTAAATGGAATATTATGCTTAAGTATAATCATCCGTTATTTGCTTTATGTAATATTTAAACCATATGATAAAATTTTGCTATTTTTCAGAAAAAGGAATTAATAACTAAACCTGTCCAAAAGTTCAAAATAAGCAAATTATATATGCAACTTAGCAGAACGTAGAATAATTTCGAAATCGTAAATCCTATAAACATGTAAATATGTCATGCAAAAATATATATATATATATATAACTTTTAGTAAATCTATTAAAGATAATTTTTAATGTTATATATGGATTATAAAAGTATATTAAATCATACATAAACATTTAAAAAACTATAAAGAATAAAATAAATCAGTCAGAAGTATGAAAATTATGCAACATTGATCGCACACAAATTGTTTTGATAATTTAATTTAAATTTTAATCAAATAGCTTCCAGCTCTACAAGTAATTAATTTATTGAACGAATCGGGTAGCGTACCCGCCCCGTACCCGACTGCAGCCATCATTTCCCTTCTCCCTTCCAAAACAGGGTACTCAGGCACCTTCCACTTGATCCTCTCCTCTCCATTGTGCGCTCGCGACCAGAGCCGTCTTCCTCATCAACAAAACCCTAAATCATTTTAACCGCCGAAACCTCTGCTATCATCGACTCCGTCAACTACAGCTCCTTCTCCACTCAATCTTTTCTGTTTACATCCCCATGCTCTCTTCTCTTTGCTGTCTCCCTCTTCAGGCATTTGGAGTTTCGGCAAGCTAGCTGCACGTCTTGGCCTCGAAGGACGCTGTCATCATTACTGATTAATCCGCTCGTTTCTTAAATTTCAGTTCGTCTCAACAGCATACTCTTGCATCCTCGCGCCGGCGACAGAGGGAGTTCCCATTGCCACTGAACTCAATCTTCGCTGGGTGCGAGCTTATTCGTGGAACATCTGTGACCTTTGCAGGTGACTGTCTATCCTGCCTAGATTTTATATTCTTGTGAAATCTGTATATGCTTTGATTTCTGCTTCAGTGACTTTAATACGGCTGGTTTCTGGTTGCTACTACATGACAGGTTGTGTTAACCTTTTCCTGGGTCTACGTTATTCATTTGTTCATGGATTTGATTCAGTATTTTGCTTAATAATTTGCAAGTTATAACAATAGATATACTTTTCATTCTTGCTTGTAATTGCACGATCCTGTCAGAGAGAAAAAAAAAAAAAGGAAAAGGAAAAGAAAACTGTTGTTCTGATTAGGAAAAAAATTTCATTTTTTATTGAGAAAACCCATGAAATAAAAGACAGGCCCAGCGTACCAATTTAATTTAGGGAAAGCATTTTAACACCAGAGAACCTCGAGGGAAAATACTCAACTCCAGCAGCGCAGCCGTCTCCATCCTTGGCTCTACTTCTTCTTTGGCTGCTGCCATCATTTTTTCCTCAATTGCGTGCCACTGTTTCTGGCCAGCGAACAAGTTTCTGAGTGCAATCTGATTTTGTTGTGCCTTAATTCTCAAAGGTTCCTACTTTTCAGTAACTCTCTTTTCAGTTATTGTTTCTATGGCAGCTACCATCAGGCCCTCTGGTTCAGCATTTCTCACCATCCTGAATCATGTCTTTTTTATAAGAATCATCCTGAATCATATGTGACTTTATACCTATATTTTCTATTTCTTCTGTGTTTTGAACAATGTCAACATTCTAATTAATTCTTTTTCTTTATTATCTTATTTTTTGATTTAAGTGCTTAATGATATTCAAATCTTAGTTCCTGATTTTCATGCTGCAGACCATAATAAGTACAATTTATTTGTTTTATTGATGCTTGTGATCCTTTTTTTCCCAGCATTTGTGTTCATTGATGGTATTTGCCAATCAAACTTAAAAGCATATTGTGATATTATCCAAGAAGTTATGCAGTTTATTATAAATAATTTATAGCAAACTAATATTCTGTTTCCATAAAGCTGGCCTTTCTCTTTTATGTGCCTTCTTTAAGCGAAGTACGGGTATTACTCTCTTCTCTAGAGCATCTTTCTGTGCCCGCCAGCTTTGTCAAGTTTCGCGTTCATTGCACGGAACAAGAATTATGGTATGTAAAGTTTTCTATTATATCTCATGTTAAAATAGTATATTTTGATTTTATGCAAATTCACTTTATAGCTGTCTTCTTTGGAAAAGTTTTGAACTGTTAAATTTTATTCATTTTATATACGCTTTTTCACATTACAGTTGCAGCCAGAGAAGAAACCTGAGACTGAAGAGGATCTTGAGAGAAAGAAGAAAAAGGAAGAAAAGGTCTGCTTTGTTTATTAACTTTTATGCAGTTGCCATTAGCGTGCTTGGTCACCAAGTTTATCTGGTGTTTAAATGCAAGTTTTTTCTATTGAGGAAAAGAAAGATTGTATATCAACAAGGCACCGACATGGTGCTACCTCATGGACAAAATGAGATTTACGTTACAAAGAAAATCAATGAGCTTCATCACTGTTAATAGGATAATTCTTGATAACGAACCATAGGATCAGAAACCACGTCTTTAAGCATATCGAAAGAACAAATTGTATCCTCAAAAGCTCTCATGTTCCTATATTTCCAAATAATCCATAAAGTAGCTGGAGGAATAAGAGAAATAAGCTTTTTCCTTCTTTTATCACCCGAGATACAATGCAGAAATCGGATCTCGTCGGTAGTCGAGTTAGCTATCATGCAACTCAAATTGATGAAATCAAGTGCCACGAACCAAAGAGAAAAATGAAAGGTAGCCACAACAAGATTGTTCCAAGGTATAGCTGCTGTTTTGCAGAGATAGCACCTTTTGGCCAAAATCTAACCCCCTCTTTTCAAGTTATCTGCCTCTTCAGGAAAAAGAAAAACATTTCCTTAGGGTTGTAATAATACGCTATATGAGCTTTCTAGTGGAAATGCTTTGGGTAGAGGGGGAATGAGCAAGGTGTATATAGAAAGATGCTGCTGAGAATATGCTATTTGTGCCAGATTCCACCCAGGAACTTCAATCTCATTACATGGAAAATATAATTAACATATTCATCTTCCTCTCAGTCATTTAGATTTCTAACAAGAGCCAGCTCCAATAGGACAAGCTTATTTGTGACAAAATAGAGATCATGCAACATTGGCTTCTTTCTTTTGCACGAAGAGAACACCTTGAGGAATCGTTTGTCAAGATCCCCTCGTTGCGCCGCTCATCTTTGCAAACCCTTACCTTTTTTTCAAACATGATCCTCATCTAGATACATTTAAAGAACATTCGGAGCAGCTTGACACCCTTCCGGAGACCCGCCCATGTAGTTGTCTAGACTAGTTATTTCTCCAACACTTGTGTTCACCAAAATTTGTCTGTAATCACCTTCCACCAGTAACTATCCACTTTCTTGTTTTTCTTTTTTCCTTTTTTTCATTGATCTTCATGATTACTTCTCAAGAAGTGCATTGTTGAATGGAACCACAATCTAATTCTAAGACCCTCAAGATAAAGAGGTTTGTTTCATTGCGTCCCAAGCTTTTTTCCCCCCCTAAAACACCCCTTAGAAAATTATTTCAAAGAAAAAAAAACACCCCATAGGAAATGGCATTAAAGGGCCTCAAGCTCCGTAGCCACATTGGCCATGTAGAGAACAAAGGAAAAAAGTAAATAGGCAGATTTGAGAAAGTGCAGCTATTGAGGGTGAGTCTACCCTCTTTAGATACAAAAACAATTTCCACCCACCTAGCTTCTTACAAAACAAGTAATTGCCAGGTTCCAGACCCTTGATTTTAATCTTTCTCCCTGAGGAAGCCCAATTACTTTATTGGTAGGTATGTGACCTCACACCTCATAGTACTAGTGAAGAGCTTCATGTTCATCCCTTTCCTGAGTTGAACCAACTCGTAATAGGCCAAATCAATCTTCAACTACAGGGCAAACTGGAACAAAGGAGTATATGTGATATTCAGGAGGAATTCCTTATTGGGTAAGGAAAACAAGAGTCTAGCGTCAGCAAAAAGTAGGTGAGGCACCTCCTCACTCATCTCCCTGTGGTCAACAACCAACTCCTGAAACAACCTGAGATCCTTAGCCCCAGCAAGTAGTTAAGGCTCTCCATAACAATATAAAATGGAGAGGGGAATAGAGTCCCCTGCAGAAACTCTAGAGACTTTGGAGAACTCTGAAGGCCACTTGCTAAGAACAACAATAAAGGAGGGAGATGAGATGCAAACATCAATTCGTGGACCCATGTGTCCCCAAAATCACTCTCTTCAACATATAAAGCAAAAAATTGTAAGATACTAGTCTTAGGCCTTTTACATATCGTATATGGATGCAAGTATGCTAGTTCTGTTCTCTCAAGTGATGTAAGAACCGAGAAATATTTGCCTTCTATCTTATGACTGATGCTTTGATCTTTGTTATTATCTTTTTAAGTGGTATCTTCTTCATTTTGACTTTTAATTCTGTAAGGTTTTCCCAAGTTTATTATCTCCGTAATCAGGCCTAGACTCTACTAAAGCTGCCATTTTTATTATTTGGTATAATATCTGACATTGCTCCCTGAACCTGTATGTATCCCGCTCTCGTAACATTTGGTGCTTATTTAGGAACCCTTAAGTAGATGTCTCTGCTTAGTTTTATTATATGTTTATGTAAGTTTGTTAAACTACTTGGCTTTATCTACTTCTCTAAATGAAAAATTTCTGCTTTAGTTGACTTTTCATGTGACTTGTTTTTTCTTCTGATAGGCGAAGGAGAAGGAATTGAAGAAGCTTAAAGCTCAGGAAAAAGCACTGCAAGCTAAGATTAAGGTTGTTATGTGAGACATGTATTAGATTCTGCGCCTTGTGCACTTTAAGGATATGTTTTTTTATTCTTTTTTGGCTCTCAAGGCTCAGTGAGCACATAGCTCAAACCACTACTGTCCAATGCCCAAACCCTCTACAAGAGGGTTGGTGAAGGTGGTTGGCCACTGCAAAAATATGAATCATTTGGCTCCTACTTTATTATTGCACATGTTGATGTCACCTTATATATATTAATTTTTTTTTATTAAGGCACAACAAGTGCAGGATGGTGTGAATGCCCCTAAAAAAAGTGCAAAGAAGAATGCAAAGCGAGGAGGAGATGAAGGAAACCCTGAGGATTTTATAGATCCAGAGACTCCATTAGGTGAGAAGAAGAGGCTTTCAATCCAAATGGCAAAACAATACAGTCCTACTGCAGTAGAGAAATCGTAAGTGTGAAAATGCGTTATGTTCTTTTCTTTTGCAGCATGAGTACTTTTAGTTAAGAAACTTCTTTTGTGTGGGGTTGGGGGGGATTGATTGGGCTTGATCTTTATCCTTCTGGGGGTTGGTCTTAGATGGTACTCGTGGTGGGAGAACAAAGGCTTTTTCAGCGCAGATGCAAGCAGTTCCAAGCCACCATTCGTGATTGTAAGTTTCTCATTTTACCATAATAACATTTGTGATTGCAATTGCAAGCAGTTTCTAAAAATAATAGATTTATATGGTGAACATTCAATTCCATTCACTTTTCTTTTATATTCTTCTTCATGGATGGAAATTTGGGGTTTCCCTTATTTATTCTTGATCCTTAATGTCCATCCTGGATACCAAGCCAGTATAAAATTGCATAAAGCTTGATACTCAAATACAGTTTTCTGGCATTGTCATATAATGATTAAATTTCTTGTTAAATGGTGGCTGAATTAGTGCCATCGATAGAAATTAGTGCTGTGTTGAGTATGCCCTTTTGGAAGCAAAAAAAAAAAGAAAGTTACAAATGTTTCTTTGACTTAGAAACTTCAGCCAACATTTTTTCAGACGATTATCTTAAATTTCTACATCAATCTACAGGTTCTTCCCCCTCCAAACGTGACAGGGGCCCTCCACATAGGCCATGCGCTAACAACTGCCATAGAGGTGGGTAGTAGGAAATTTTATTAAGTCTGTTCTTTTTTTGGACTTCTATGCTGGATCCTGGTAATCTTTAATTTATTGAATGCAGGATACAATCATTCGCTGGAGGAGAATGTCTGGATATAATACATTATGGGTCCCTGGTGTGGATCATGCTGGGATAGCCACACAGGTTAGTTTCTTTTCAACTGTTTAGTTGTTGAATTCGTGAATAGAAAATAAATTTAAATTCGTCACATGCCTGATCTTGCATGCACATGTAGTCATTTTTATTTGTTGCCATTGATTATGCTTAGTGCCATTGACTGTGTTTGTTACGTGTCTGTGCCATTCTTTCTGTGCAGGCAAACTGCATATCTGTAATTTCTTGAGCTTTAAATGTAGGTCTAGAACTTGATGTTGTGTTTTCATGGACATATGTCTCCTGAAAGCAATCCAAAAAGGCATTAGAAAATATTTCAGACAAGTCCTTTATCGTATTTAAAAGAAAAAAACGTCCTTTATCGTGAAGCAAAAGGCTCTTAATATGGTTGTACTATTTATATGCTCCTCATGTTAACTTATTTTTCTTCGGAATGAAATTTGCCTGCATGTGTTTTTCTGTGTTTGTACTAGTGGTCATGTAAGTTCTGACGTGCAATGCTTACTTCAGAAACTGAAAGGAATCTCTATGTATGCTATTTTATAGGTTGTTGTGGAGAAAAAACTTATGCGTGAGAGGAACTTAACCAGGCATGATGTTGGTCGCGAATTATTTGTAGATGAAGTAAGTTTGAAGAATAATATTACATATTGAGCTTGTTAGCACCTCCGTACCCCTCCCCCCGCCCTTCCCCACAAAAAAAAAAAAGGAACCAAAAATAAAATTTTCCTCTACTTTTTGTGCTGTGGAAAAGGTCTGGAAGTGGAAGCACGAATATGGAGGTACAATACTAAAACAGCTGCGTTGTTTGGGTGCTTCTCTTGATTGGTCGCGTGAGGTAGAAACTTTTCTCAAGAAGTTCAAGGCTTTAACCTTATACTCTTTAGTTGTGCTTTTACTAGATTTATATACAGTGTATTTTCACATATATCTTGTCATTGTCAACATCTCCCCTTCTTCCTTAAATTTGTAGTGCTTTACAATGGATGAGAAGAGATCAAAGGCTGTATCTGAAGCTTTTGTTCGGCTCTACAAGGAAGGTCTTATCTATAGGTATGCTTAATGTAGCTTCTTATTTCTTGGTGACTGTCATCTTTGTGTAGGAAATGCAGAATTTTGAGAGTATTCAGATTTGGGAGCATGTCTTTGCAGAATTGCCTGTTCAAGGCTTAAGCCATTAACTAAATCTGATAGAAAGTTTGATTAATGCAAACTTTGTATAAATAAAACATCCCTCGAGAACGTGAAAGAGTAATTATGACATTTACCATTATCTAAAAAGTGATACTCACTATTTTTTGGTAGTATATGAAAGGCCTATGATACGGATGTTCCAGTAATAAACTAAATATTGTGTCATGTGCAAGCAAAGTCTAAAAGATTATAGGAACTTGGCTTTCTTTCTCACTAATTGTTGCTACTGCTGGTTCTGTTGTTTTTTCTTTTTAGGTATTTATAAACTTTTATCATATTATGGCTAGGATGTATTTTATAAATTATTTTGATGATATCTTATTTTTGGGATAAATTTTGATGATATCTTATCCTCTCTAGCTACTTCTTTATTCAGTTTTCCCTTCCCAATAATATTTCTTATTTAATAAACAGAAGTTCTGGCAAGTTTTACAGTGATGGTAATAAATGTTAATTTTGGAGAACTGATGTTTCATGTGTAAATTTTTAGTTTAATGCTTCCTGGAAAATATTGAGTGTATAGGTTTCTTGCTACAGGGTTTAGCAGTGTTTTTTCTTTTGCTTGTTAGAAAAGAATAGGTTAAATTTCTGTTGGCTGTCTTCTTTAGTTTGATAGGAATCCTTTTTTGAAGTTGTTGTAATGCATTTTGCAGAGACATTCGCCTAGTAAATTGGGATTGTGTCCTACGAACAGCAATATCTGATATTGAGGTGAGGCTCTCTTTGGGCTGTTTAGTTACTGGAATGTTTCGTACTTATCTGGAATTTGCTTGGTGTTCATAGGTTGATTATACAGACATCAAGGAGAGGACACTGTTAAAAGTTCCTGGCTATGAAAAGCCAGTGGAGTTCGGTGTTATAACTTCATTTGCTTACCCTCTGGAGGGAGGCTTGGGTGAGATTGTCGTTGCCACTACTAGGGTGGAGACAATGCTTGGTGACACTGCCATTGCCATTCACCCCGATGACGCAAGGTACAGTCATCTGCATGGCAAATTTGCCATTCATCCATTTAATGGAAGAAAACTTCCAATAGTTTGTGATGCAATGCTCGTTGATCCTAAATTTGGTACTGGTGCTGTAAAGGTAAGATTTTGTTTTTAGATCTTAGAATGCTGAAATTTTATGTGTACAGTTCTATTTGTCATTATTCTTCAATGTTTCTTTTCTTACTCCTGCAGATCACTCCAGCTCATGATCCAAATGATTTTGAGGTTGGCAAGCGTCATAATCTTGAATTTATCAATATTTTCACTGATGATGGCAAAATAAATAGCAATGGTGGTTCGGAGTTTGCTGGAATGCCACGTTTTGCAGCTCGTGAGGCTGTGCTTGAAGCGCTGCACAAAAAGGTAGAACTGCCACTCAATATGATGTATAATTAGTCCTCATCGTGGAGATATAGTCTGTTGTCATGCCTTCTTTGACATGTTAATTGGTCCTCATCGTGGATTTTTTTAATAAATGATTTCAACTATCTACTTGTACAATTTTGTAAGTAATATTAGTTTGAGGCTATATAGATAATCACTTTGCTAAAAGTAGCTTATTTTAGAAACTTCCCGAACTTTCTAGACCTCCCAACATTTGAGAAATGTTGTTGGTAAGAGTTTATCAGTTACATATCTTATAAGCTCTTAACTAATTGCCAAACATGTCAAGGAATGTGCACGTATTATCTTGTATATGATTGCCTTTATGTTATTCTCTATTTTACCTGCATATGATGTTGAAAGTGCAGTAATTAATTGCCCTCTTATGATTAGGGCCTGTATAGAGGTGCAAAGAACAATGAGATGCGGCTTGGGCTTTGTTCAAGGAGCAATGATGTTGTTGAACCAATGATAAAACCTCAATGGTTTGTCAATTGTAACACTATGGGAAAGCAGGCTCTTGATGCAGCAATGGATGTTGAAAACAGAAAACTCGAATTCATTCCTAGACAGTATGCTGCAGAATGGAAAAGGTTTTCTCATGTTATCTCACTGAGTAATAATAATAGAGATAGATATCAAGATACCATTCTGTTGCATGGTTTTTCTTTTCCTGCATTGCGTGGTTATTGTGGGGATATTTTTAGCATGTCTGTTTCACATACATTTTACATTAGATGACAAACCCGGGATTCTCCCAAAAATTTAAATGCACAAACCTTGTGAATAAAAATATATAGAAGTATTTAGGTGGATGAAATACATTTTCTGTATTGTGCCCTTTGCTCTACTTCAACTGGGAGTTATTCTTAATGGTACCATCAGATGGCATATATAAAAAAACCCCCACCAATTACATCCTTGCTATACCGTGTGCCTCGACCAAACTAATCTGGAGCCTATTTTTCATGTACTTTGGTAGATTATTGGGTATTTGGGTATCCAAGGTCTAACTTGTGTCTATTATTTTTTTTTGTGGAAGTCTATATTTCCTTTTTGATATAGCTGTATCACAACTAGGATTGAATGAATAATGTGTTCAAAATTGCAGATGGCTTGAAAATATACGGGATTGGTGCATCTCAAGGCAACTTTGGTGGGGCCATCGGATTCCTGCATGGTATGCTACCTTGGATGATGATGAATTGAAGGAACTGGGTGCATACAGTGACCATTGGATAGTTGCTGGAAATGAGTCGGAGGCTTTAGAAGAGGCTAGCAAGAAATTTGTTGGAAAGAAGTTTGAGTTGCATCAAGATCCTGATGTGCTTGACACTTGGTTTTCTTCTGGTCTCTTTCCATTGTCTGTATTAGGGTGGCCAGACCATACAGATGACTTTAAAGCATTTTATCCAACATCTGTTCTTGAAACTGGACATGACATTCTCTTTTTCTGGGTTGCTCGAATGGTGATGTTAGGAATTCAATTGGGAGGCGATGTACCATTTGGAAAGGTGGGTGCGATATCTTTCCTTCAATCTCTGAAGAAATATGTTATGCTTTTTTGTCCTGGGATGCCAGTTGTTTTAAGTACATTAACAATCAATGATTTTACGTCATCCAGGTTTACCTGCATCCAATGGTACGTGATGCACATGGGCGGAAGATGTCAAAGTCTTTGGGAAATGTAATTGATCCCCTTGAAGTAATAAATGGTATAACCCTTGAAGGTCTTCATAAGAGGTTGGAAGAGGGTAATTTGGATCCTAAAGAGCTTGTTGTTGCGAAAGAGGGACAGGTGAAAGATTTTCCTAATGGTATCGCTGAATGTGGGGCTGATGCTCTCCGATTTGCGCTTGTCTCATACACAGCTCAGGTATATTTGGATTTCTATATGATATTTGTTCAGTTACTTTTTAATTCTACATGTCACAATCTTGGCATTCGTAACTGCTCACCAGTATCACTGAATATTCTTTCGTTACCTTCTCTTCCCAGTCTGACAAAATTAATTTGGATATACAAAGAGTTGTTGGGTATCGGCAATGGTGTAACAAACTGTGGAATGCTGTCCGATTTGCAATGACCAAACTTGGAGATGATTATGTTCCTCCATTGATAGTAAATCCTGAAAGAATGCCTTTCAGTTGCAAATGGATACTTGCCATGCTTAACAAGGCAATCTCAATGACTGTAGCATCATTAAATGATTATGAGTTCTCAGATGCATGCAATGCGGTGTATTCATGGTGGCAGTACCAGTTTTGTGATGTTTTTATTGAAGCAATCAAGCCTTACTTTGCTGGTGATAAGTCAGCATTTGCATCACATAGGAAGTTTGCACAAGATGCTCTTTGGGTGTGCTTAGAAAATGGTTTGAGGTTGCTTCATCCATTTATGCCATTTGTAACTGAAGAATTGTGGCAGCGCCTACCCTGTGCTCAAGACTCTGAACGGAAAGATTCTATTATGATCTCCGAGTATCCATCAGTGGTAGAGGTAAGTTCATATTTCTTAAGTTATGGCTACCATTCTAGCCAGTTGAAGAACCACTATGCAATAGTTACTATGGAGTAGGATCCTGAAAATAACTATGATTTTCGAAGGGGCCAGAGATATTATATTTATTGAAATTGTCTATTATCCTCTTACTGTTGTATTTTCTTTTCCCCAAGCAGTGCTGGATTGATGAAAAGGTGGAATACGAAATGGATGTCGTTTTATCAACTGTGAAATGTCTCAGGTCACTCAGGGCAGAGCAACTTGAAAAGCAGAAAAATGAAAGGTAAACCGTGAAGCCATTTAAGTACTATTAAACAAACTTGAGGCATTTTTTGGTAATGACTTTGTGATGTAGGACAAATAGGATTAATTTGTCCAATTAGGGATTTAGGGATAAAAACCTAGATGTCACAGCTAGGATTTTGTATTCATTGGATTTAAGTCTTAAGCATCATATTTAAAGGTTTAGTTGCATCACACAACCAGAAATTTGAGAAACTCTTAAAATATTATTGAACAGCTGAAGGTTCCAATAAATGAAATTATAAGCCATCTATAATCTCTAAGCAACTTTCTTAAATAGAGTTATAATAAGAAATAATAAATGAGTAGAATTAGGAGTACTAATTTAAATAAGGATAAGAACCTAATACTAATAAGAATAGGAAGTACTAATTCTAATAAGAATAAGAAACTAATATTAATAATATTAGGAATACTGATCCTAATACAATAGGAAAATACTAATAAGAACAAAAAAATCCTAAGTTATTAAAACTATAATAATACTCTTCAATAATATAGTCTCCTAAATGATATAATAGTTCTACATTTGAAAAATTATAACCTCAAATCTATTTAGGTATAGCTCATTTTGCATCATTATACCCTGGTTGAAGAGAATTCAGCCACGAGTTTTGAAGTGGTGAACACTGAAAAACCTCGCTGTTTGAGCTTCCTTATGGAAATTTAACAAACTCTGTGCACAATCATTTTCTTTAATAGCAAACATAATAGAAAGACTTGATTGTTGATGAGTGTGAAATTCTAGTGGGAGAATGAAGTCAAAATAGTGACCAGTTTGGACTTGTACTTCATCTTGGAGCTCAGCATCATTACTCTCATTTATTGGCTTTGGTTCCTCTTTAAACTAAACTTTCACAGGACTCTCCATAGGTAGTAAAAGATCTCGAATAACCTCAGTATCTTTAGTCGTAGAAAGACACGACAGTTCCTTTCATTTCTCAACTTCAACTGGCTCCTTCTCTTTTTCTTTTTCACTGACTGTAAATGTTTTTTGACGTCTATATTTATTCATCCCTTCTATTAGTTGAATACTTTAAACCTATATCTTTTACATCATGCACAAAATGATAAGTGTTGTTATATTGAGCATTTCAATCATAAAGCCAAGGTTGACTTAGAAGAATATTTTTGAATATCATAGAAATTACATCATACAAGATTGGATCGCTAGAGGTACCCTGAAGAATACAAATAAGACTTTGTTGAGTTACTAAATGCTCAGTTTATCCATCCATGTTAGTCTGTATGGTTGGAGATGCGGTTGCGTCCAAAGATTGAGTCATTCAACAGTAGATATTGAAATAAAATTTCTGCAACATTCCTTGTGAATGACAAGTTTCTTATACTTACTTTCACAGGGGCCTATAGTTCAAAAAATTGGAGAATACTTTGGATTTTTTCTATGTTAATTGCTTAATTGTGCTTAACTATAGTCGGGAAAGACTCGTCAATCCTAATATCTTTGAGTGAAAACTCATTCTCTTCCTCATAATTCTACATGCTTCAAGCTTTTTCAATCACAGTTTTGCAGAAGACACTGCAAAATAAGAAGAATAGATAATATTCTTTGAGCTGTTGAAAACCAATCTAAGAGGGGATAAACCAGTCTAGATGAACCAATCTGGCAAACCCAATCCAAAAAGTCAAAATAGAGCACGATACAAAAAGGTCCATTCATGGGTGCGCACACATGGGGTCCACGCGCTGGCTGTCAGTTACTAGATGACGGTGTCTGTTTGGCAGTTGGCTCAACCAGAGGTGTTGGTCTCATATTGGAGGCCAATTAGGAAGCAACAGCTTAGAAATCTGGATTCGCGAAAGGCAGTGGCTGTGTGAGCTTGCCCGGGCAAGTGTGGCTGTTTCCAGCACAGCGTCATGGGTTGGTCGAGTGGGACCTTTTAGAGCTGGTGCTGGTAGCAGTGTCAACCACTCCCAGTAGGTGGTTGGTGAACGGTGATGGAGGCTGTTTTAGGTTTTTTCTCTTTTTTCTTTTGCGATTGTTTTTTCCATATGGGTTTGAGGCTATTTGGGTGTCGAACTTTTAGAATTTGAGAGTAGGATTCTTTTAGCTCCATTACCAAATTGATGTAGGACAAATATAATTGATTTGTCCAATTAGGATTTAGGGATAACAAACTAGACTTCATAGATAGAGTTTCTTAGATATCACATTTAAGAAATCTTAAACATTACACTTAAGAATTTGATGGCATCATACAATCAGAAAACTGAGGAACTCTTAATATAGAGTAACTGAATGCTCCAATAAATAAAATTACAAACTACTTATAATCTCTAAGCAATTTTTCCTGAATAGAATTACTAATGAGAATAGAAAACTAGTAAATGAAAAATACTAATCCTAATAATAAAAAAAAGTAATCCTAAAAATATTAGAAATATTGATCTTAATATAAATAAAAAAATACTAATAAGAATAAAAATTTTAAGTTACTAAAACTATAATAATGCTCTTAAATAATATAAACTCCTAAATAATATAATATTTTAACATTTGAAAGAATTATAACTTACAGTCTATTTAGGCATAATAACCCATTCTGTATCACTTTGTTGTAATTCTTTTTGCTTCTGGAATAACAAAAAAAAGAGCGCACTGCTTGATTTCAAATTAAAAACTATTTTAGTTTTGCTTTCCATGCTGGGTGTTAAAGTGTCAAATCCTAATGCTAAGATTTGTGGCAATCCACTGTCTTTGATGCCTGAATTGTTAAAACAACTTTTTGGATGTTGACCGTGGAGTACTCCTTTAAGAGGCAATCTTTCGTTTCCTAAATTTCTAGATTCAGTCAGGATAGATATACCTACATATGACATTTTGGTGGTTAGATTCACATCAATTTGTTTAAGATTTGAATATTGAAGCTAGACTTTTGTCTGAAGGCCATTGATGTCTACATGCTTTTTCCTTTTTCAGGCTACCTGCTTTTGCATATTGTGAGACTGATGCAGTAGCAGAAACTATCAAAACCCATGAATTGGAGATTGTAACCCTTGCAACCCTATCAAACTTGAAGGTATATTACATAGATATGCTATTTAGTGGATTTTGGAATTTATACCCGTTAGGCCTTGGGTATATATATCTATGTCTCTATATATATTTATATGGTGTTGTCCAATGTTCTTGTTCTAGTTTCATTTATATGTGTATATACGGTTTTCATCTACTATTCATATTCTGGATTTCCCTATCCACTTTCTGTTAGCAAACTTGGATCTAAGCACTTTTTTTAGATATAGTTTTCAACCAATATTATAGAAAAAGTAGTAACAATCATCTCAAAGTTTTTTATATGGTTTTCATCCAATATCTAGAAAAATGTGACACGCATTTGAAGGTTTCTGTGCAAGAGAGATATCTTTTTTGTCTCCTTTTGAGCTGTGAGATTGAGGATCGTGCTCATTGACTGATATTGTTTCTTTATCATTCTATTAAAATCAGAGTCTTCACTTTGACACTCTACAGGTTTTATTGAGTGGAAAAGATGCTGTTCCTGCTGGATGTGCAGTCGAGACTGTTAATGAAAACCTTAAAGTTTATATCGAAGTTCAAGGAAGTCTCAATGCAGAAGCAGAACGTGAAAAAATCAGGAATAAGATGGATGAGATACAAAAGTAAGTTTGCTTGGATAGTTTTACTCATCTTTGTTCTTGGTTTCTAATGGTTGCATCGCTTTTTTGGTTTTAGTTAGTTCTTGAAAAGGCTTTATATCTTTAGGTCCATAAATTTTTTTCAGTCACTCACAAGTATGGATTTGTGATGCTTTTGTCAGAACATAAATATACATATACTTATAAATCACTACACTTGTTTTCTCCTTTTGATCCTTGACTTGAGTTTACTTTTTGAACAGGCAACAAGAGAAGTTGCAGAAGATAATGAATGCATCTGGCTATGAAGAAAAAGTCCCAACACATATTAAGGAGGACAATGTCTCAAAACTGACCAAACTAATGCAAGAATTTGAATTCTTCAAAAAGGAGAATGCACGTTTAGAAGCTGAAATGGAGGCAGATAATAAATAATAAAGCAGATCATATTTAGGCGACTTTGCAATTAAAGGAGCAAATAAAAAAATAAAAAAATTAAAAAAAAAAGGAAGAGAGAAGGACGGTTTGATATTTATGCAGGGGAAGGTTATTAAGATATATATTGCTTTCATTTTTCTCCATATAATCAGAATGGATTTTCATTGCCCTCATTCTCATTAAACAGAGTGGTTCTGCAAATTCACAACCCATGTTAATTGCAGAAAGTATCTGTTATTTCTTTTAGCTGATTTGATTAGGAAATTCCTTTTTACAGCGGGAAATATCTTTGAGCTTGGGATTCAAGTTTGAAAATTAAAATTTATTTGTGGTTTGTTGAATTATGGAATTGACAAGAAAGTAGAAAATTTTCGTGGGAACTCAACACTGTAATTGAAAAAAATAATTAAAAAAGAAGTGGCCGTCAGAACGTTAGGCGTTTGCTAATTTTACTACTTGTACCTCTTCCGATTTGGATTGGGAATCATTGCATGCAGAAGATCATCTCCGCTACTTACGATGAGGGTCTTTTTTCATCCGACGGTTAGGATTTGAAGTAAAATTTGCTCACCACAACTTGCATTATTTGTTTTTTTCATTCAGTGGGTAGGACTTTGGCTCTCTTTATTATTTATATGAATGTTTGAAAATTAAAGTTTTGAACGGAAAATGCGGAATAAAAGTCAAATTTAGATAATTCTGTTCCCAAATCTACACGCATATTTATGCTGAAATCTGAAAAGCGAAACTTACTGAAGAAACTTAATCGATAAATGTACTGCAAATTGAATAAAAAGTAGAAGAAAGTCAACAAATTGTCAAAAAATATTTCATGTTTCAATTCATTAAAAGAAAACTTCTTAGACAATTATTTCCATCACCAAGCCATCGGTCTACCCTTGTCCCATAAGACAATATCACAATAACAATTATAGTTAACTGCCAAAATAATAAAATAAAATTCTTAAGACACGACTTTAGAAGAGCGTAATTAAACGTTCCTCAAAAGGGGGAAAAAAAAAAAAAAGACCTTAGTGTAACCCACACCAATTGATTTAATCAGTATGAAAATTGATCTAGCAGATCTTGTTCTTGTTAGTTTTCCTATCATTCACGTACTTCTTCCAGTAAGCTGTGATTTCCCTCTGAGTCTGCTCGGGCGTTTTCTTCACCACCACGGCAACGCCATTAATCTTTCCATTCTCTTGGGCCTTCTTCTCAATCTCTTCAGCTGCACCCGACACTGGAGCCAGACCAATCCTGGCCGGAAGTGTATCCAGCTCGTGGAGCACTTTTACGATGTCTGTCACCAACCTCTCGGCGAGAGTGCGTGAAAAGTCCGCTCGGATGACAACACGAAGCACGGTGATGTGCTGAGCGTCGGCCGGCATGGTGTAAGCCGGCACGATCCAACCGAACCTCCGGAGCATCTCGGCCACCTCGAACTCGTCATGGCGACTGTTGTCTTTGAGAGAGAACGCCACTAATGGTACTCCGTGGTCTTTAGAAACAATGTCGAACCGCCCTGTCTTCTCCAATCCTTCCTTCAACACCATGGCGTTTTCATGGCAGTTCTCCATCACGTTCCGGTACCCCTCGTGTCCCAATCGGATGAGTTGGTAATACTGAGCAATTACTTGGCTAGAACCTGCAAGTTAACATGACTTACATACATTATTTACATGTATAACAAGGGAAGATTATAAATTTAAGGAGATATGTAGATTACCTTTGGAGAAATTGAGAGTGAAAGTAGGTTGATCAGCACCCAGGTAGTTGATGTGGAAGATGAGTTCTTCAGGCAAATCTTGTTTGGTTCTCCAGATAACCCACCCAATACCAGCATAAACCAATCCATACTTATGTCCACTCACATTAATACTTTTAACCAGTGGTAAACGAAAGTCCCATTCAAGCTCTGGGTACAAAAATGGCGCAATAAACCCTCCACTAGCTGCATCAACATGGATAGGCGTATCCCATCTGCATTCAAAACTCAATCAAGTTAATTTCATTGATCCACCTTAATTCATCAATAATTATGGAAGTTAATCTGATTTATTACATACCCAGTTTGTTTGTTCTTTTCGATTAACAGGTCGTTTAAGAGTTTGACATCTTCGAATTCTCCATTGAGAGTTGAACCCAAAATGGCGGCCACACAGATTGTATTCTCATCTACCATTTCCACTGCCTTCACTGGGGTCCATCACGTAGTAACCTTCACTCAGTTTAACTTCCTTTAGTTCCACCTCAAAGTATCTTGCAAATTTCTCCCAGCAAACCTATATATATACACACACAGAATATCAATCTTCCCCGGTTCAGTTTACTTCATCATCTTCTTCATCGTCAACTTTAAATCTATAAAATATATATATATATATATATATTATATAGTATAATATACCTGGACATTGGCGCCAGTGACGATGTTGGGTTTGTCATAGGGTTTGCCCTGAGCCTTGCGCATGTTCTGCCATTTGCGCTTGAAGGCTAACCCAGCCAACATGATGGCTTCTGATGAACCCACTGTTCCTACTCCAATGGCTGCCTCTGATTCTCCCAATGGTGCGTTGAACAGATGAGCAATCATATTCACACACCGATTCTGTACATATTATCAACTAATGCATATTAGGACTTTTCTTATCAAAAAATAATATTTGATTCCAAATTTTACATATTATCAATTTCTCAATTTCTTTAATAAATCCCTTGATCCATAAATTTCAATGCCTGGTTAATTCATAAAAATGTAAATAAAATCTTATTTCCCTTTGTTCGATTTGTATCAAGATTTTTAATTTTTTTATTACTTAAATTTGGCAAATTGTTTTTTTTTTTTTACTAAACGATGCTTATTAAGGATTAAATTTTTGATATAACGTAGTATATAATAAGAACGATAGTTTAAAATAAAAAATGACTCTGTAATATGTAAAAAAGACTAAGGCAAAAATCATTTAGTTAACCGTTAAGAAATTACTTGATTAATCATATGTTTAAACTAAAATTTAAATCTAAGTGCGAAAAAATGTAAAATCATTTCTTCACCAAACCAGATTTAAGTTACACGTTCATCTCTTATATCATCTTCCATCTTATATATAGGTTAAAAATTTCAGAAAACTGAATTTAATCCCTTAAAAACACAATTTTGAATGTCAAAACAGAGAGAAATTAGACCTGAAGCTCTGTAGTGACAGGGTACTCGTCCATATCAACATAGTTCTTATTAATGGCGTCCATGATGAGCTTATCACACTCCGGCTCCATCCAGGTGGTGACAAAGGAAGCCAGATTCAGCCTTGGGTTTCCATCAAGCATCAACTCGTCGTTTATTATCTGATAAGCAGCCTCTTTCGGTATCGAGTTCTCCGGCATCTTAAACCTGCACCCGAAATTTCATTCTCCAAATTAAATTTAAGAAGAAAAAACAATCACAGACAGAGGAGTCATAGATTGAAAACAAAAGAATTACGTACCGAGGAAGTGAGGTTCGGACATAGCGAGAAGCAAAGGTGGAATGGACGGAAACGTCGGATTCAGAACTCGTCTTTGACAGAACCATTGTTTATGTTTAAGGTTAATCAGAGAATGAAACAGGTTTCAGTTCAGACAAAACTGTGTTCTGAGTAATTAAGGTGGATTGAAAGACAGAGAGAAATGGAAAGATGTTTGATTGGAGAAAGGGGAGAAGATGGTATGTGTATATATATACATGAGGGGGAACCTCAACTGCCTCCGCCGTGTTGTTCTTTCCTGGTGGGCCCCATTTCTTTTTTCAATTTTCTAGAATATTATTCAGAAAAATGAATGAAGAAAAGTTGAAATATGCCCATGTTGACCTCGCGTAGTGTTACACGTGGCATTCAGGGAAGGGGTCAACTGGCCGCATTGGACCGTAGAAAGCAAAAACCAGGAATAGAGTGTGGGTCCCACTCTACAGGTTTTAGCTTCTTGTTTTGCCCTCACGGCCACCGTCTTACAATTAATATAATTCCCAAAACTATATACAACTCCTTTAAATTTACTAATAAATTTTTTTATGTTTTCTTTTCTAATTTTTTACACACATATATAATCAATGTGGATTTGCAAATATCCTCTTACTATTATTACACAAACATTTTATAAAAAAGTCAATCTGAATTACATATTTTTAATGATTTTATATAAGAAAATAAGATTTATATAACCTAAGCAAAATATTTTTGATAGTTTTATATATTAATTCATTGATTTTTGATATATTATAATGAATTATGTCATTTACATCTTCTAATCAGAGTCTTAAAATTTGGAATAAAATTCAAATTAGAGACATTAAAGATAATATCTTTAAAATAAATATTTTTTTAAGAATAATATCTTTAAAATATTAATGAATTAACAAATTTATGGTTGTTAGGGGATTTATTAAGACGAGTTTAGATGAAGCATGTGCTTTCCATTATCCATCCACTTCAATTTTAATAAATTCCGGTTTATACAATTATATATGCTTTAAAACTTTCAATTTGTCTATAAATATCTAATAAAATCGTGTATATATATATATATAAATATATTACAATCTCAATCACGATCAACTACTCTAATAAATAAGATCTTAATGTTTTAGTATCTGTCACTAAAAATATTAATAATGTGAAAATATTTATGTTTATTATTAAATATTTTAATAAAGTAAATAAAATAATTTTGTTTATTATATTTATAATAATTGATGGAATTAACTTAAATATTAAAATATATTTAATTTACTATCAAATGATTATAATAAATTAATATCTAAACAAGGGTTCAAATAATTATTAATTAAAATAATTATTATAAAAAACTTGCACACGGTTGGCATGTTTTTGTGAAAGCGATGTCTTTTTTTTTTAATTCAATTAATTAGTTGTTGAAATAAAAATAAATGCATTGAAGGAGTCAAGAAATTAAGGCATTTGGCAATCGAGGAGGACACATTCGCTGACCTTGACACAGTGGGCCCCACTTCCAATCGCTACCTTTTCTCTCTTTTTATTTATTTATATATTAAAATTGTTTTTGAAAAATTATTGTCTATTTTTAATTCATGAAAATTAATAAAATTATTTTGGCGTTGATTTGTTTATTCAGAGATCTGACCATAAATTATTTAATATTGATACCGAAAGTCAGCAAGGTAATGGTCAATCTTGATGTGAAAGTCAACATAATGGACCGCAGATGGGCCTGGACCAGATAGAGCGGTGCAGATGCGAACACAAAATTTAACTTTGAAAAGTTAATTTATGTTTTTATTATTTGAATTTTTCATGCTTGACATGAAATTAGCTGGTGGGCATGCATTAAAATCTGAATAGCAGTTCAACAATATTATTATATAATGTTCTTTTTTGTAATTATAATAAATAAAAAGCCTTCCAAAATATTTGGAAATAAATGAATGCGATAAATATAAATATATGTTTATTACGGTTAATTAAAAATAATTCACTTGACTGATAAAATAAATTAAGCATAATGATAAAAAATATATAAATTTAGTTTTAATCGATTTACGAATTAAAATTAACTTATTAGAAAAGATAATTAATTATCAAAGATAAAAAGAGTATTGAAATTGTGAAGTAATGTGTGTAGACAGAATCAAACAGGGTTAGAAAAGTCAAATACGTGAAAAAAATGAGATGCGGTTAAATGAGCGGGCCCCACGAGAACAATTTTCCCCGTTTGGCAACATGGATGGTAGGCTATCCTGGTTGGGACGAGAACAGACCAGTAACCATTCATTTCTCATCCTCCCACTTCCGGGAACATGTTCACTTTATTCCCAAACAAGAAACATATACGTTTATGTTGTTCGCTCTGTTAGAACAGTAACCATTGATTTTATTCCATGAATATTATTATAGCATTTAGGATTTGTAATTTCTTTGTATAAATATTATATTTTGTGTTTTTCAGCTAATGTTTTATTAATATCAGACGGTGCGTTTTAAAATTTAAAAAATTTATAAACACGAAAATGGAAAGGATCTTGAATCGCTAACTATATAAGATAAAAAAAAAAATTATTGTTTTTCAATTCAATATAGAGGTGTTCGTATTCAATAAAAAAATTTGTAAATTTAATTTGGGTTTAAATGCGTTATGTTTATATTTCATAAAATATGGTGAAATTTTAATAATATAAAATTCGATTTATTATTATTCTTAAGTTGAATAATTTTATTTTAAAATAAACAATTTAAATATTCTATTACATCAATTTTAATAAAATGTTTGAATTTCTTTTTCAAAAAGTAAGATATTTGCACATCAACTTTGATTATATCATCATTTTAATTAATATATGTTTGTGTATTTTCTTTTTGTACTACAACCAATAATTTTGGTCAAATAGATATCTCATAAAAAAAAAAAAACAACAGAAGAAAATATTCAACATAATGATAATCTTTTTATTTTAAGAAAAATCATTTCAAGGGGTTGAAAAACATTGACTAGGGATTATCTAAGAAGAAATAAGAAAATATCTAATGATTTATTACTCTTCTATAAATATATATATAAATATTAAAAAAAAAGAGTGTCTTGCAATCTCTTGAATAGTATTATACAATTTTATTTTTTTTTAATAATTTTGTTCACAATACATATGGAAAAAGTAAAAAATAAATAAAAATAAATATTATATCAATAAAATTGGTGTAAAAAATAAGTAAATATTATTTTTATGATATTTATCATAATAATAAAATATAAAAAAGTTTTGCAGGACAAATATGATATTATATTTATTATACAAAAAGAGATACCCATTTTAATAGCCATATCAAAAATTTTAGGTACAATTTTGGTTAAATTTACAAGTTTCTAAAACAATTAATAAAGAAGAAGAGCGAGGGGTATTATGGGTATAATAGAAAGCTTCACCCGGAGTAACCGGTTTTGTGACGCGGCGAATCGCGGCTTTCTTTGACCCTTCAAATAACGCGGTCCCGGCATTTTAGGCCCCAATTCTTATGACTATTCCAATTTCCACCCTTCAAATTATGAACACAAACATGTATTATTATTGACGTGAGTCTAAGCAGAAAATTACTATTTACTAACGTGATTAACTCGAAATGACAAATTTACCCCTTACTAAAAAAGGCTAAAAAATGAAAGAATTTTTCTAATCCGACGTCGTTTTTGTGTGTGTGTGTATATATGCATATACTTATTCTGCAATTTTTTAAAAATTTCATTTTTATCTTTGATCCACTAAGCTCTGTATTACTTTTACAATTCTCATACTACTATGCAGAACTACCCAGTCTCTACATATTTATGATATATATATATATATTTATCAAACTAAGTCGTAATCGAGTTCAGATATAACTCGTTGTTATCTTTAATCACGTATTGTAATAAAAAAAATGAATTCATCAATAAAACATATAAGTAAATTTTTATTAAAATTGTAGTGATAATAATAATATGATACTAAATGAAGGTAGATTTATTTTACAAAATGATTTTAAATTTTACAATGTGATTTACAACCAGTGGGCCTGTCAAGGTGTTTAGGCCTTACAAATATTAGAACTCGGCCCATATGCTAAAACAAAATACAAATTCTGGGCCTATAAATATTGAAAATTTCAAAATAAATATATTGGACTTAATATGACAAAAATATCATTTTATTTACGTAATCTGACGCATCAAATCTTTTAAATATCTCAATTAAATACATAGATCTAATGAATTTATTCATTTAAAGATTATGCATAAAGACAATTTGGTTATATGGGAATTTTATATTGTAATTTTTTAATTTATATTCCTTTCAATTTAACAATTAATTTAATATTTGTAAGAAAATTAATTAATTAATTACTAATGAAGCAGGTAGGTAAGTGACTGAATGCAAGTATGAACCACGTGAGACATATCCCACGTACCTACCAATTCCTCTCGTCTTCGCTGTCTTTCCTTCATCAAAAACCTTATCGTATAAAGTAAATTAGAAGTTTACTCTTTTAATTTTTTTACTTTTAAAATTATTTTATAAATTTACTGTATAATATTTAATTTAATAATATTAAATTATAAAATTATTTAACAAATTTATTATATTTATTAATAAAATAAATATTATAAGACGAATAAATTATTTTAATTTAAATAAACATAATAAATTAAAAATCTAATTTTATGTTTTTTTGACATTCAAAATTATTTATTTTATCTTAATTAGTGTCAAACATTTTTTTTATTTATCATTGATTCAATTTGTTTTTTCCTTTTTTTTTTTGCTCAACCATTGTAGTAATGTATTTAACTTAAATAAAAAATAAAATTTTAAAAATTTATGAATTTAATTTGAACTACGTTGTGTATAAATTATTTTAAGTGATTGATTTTTTTAATTTTTTTTTTAAAAAATTAATTATGTTAAATGTATAAGTTTTTGTGTTAAAATTAAAATATTTTTAATTGTTCAATATTGATTGCAAATTTTAATTAAAAATAAAGATAATTTTTTTCTATTCAAAAGCTCATTTAGCTAAAATTATAGTTTTCATTGTGATGACGTAAAAAATAATTTACTTTCTTCTTAATAATAAAAATTAGCACTGGAGCCGGCAACTTGCAAGTAAAGGCACACTCTTCTAAGCGTTTCTTACGTCAGAATTCCTTACTTTCATGTTTTCGTCTGTTTTTATTAATTAAATTTTATTAATAATTAACTATTAGAATATTATTTTCCCCAATTCTATAAATTCACTTATTTTACCTGTAATCAATTGTTGCTAATTTAGGTCGTTCATCTCTTACTAAGAGCAATTCGAAGAGCAATTGCTTCCACTAATACACGGATTCATGGGTTCGCTCGAGGATCAGAGATCCCTTCTCGAAGAAGGACTAGTGCAGGTTCCTCATTCTCTCTCTGATTTTCTTAATTGTGGTTTCAAAAAAAGTCAAAATATTGTTAAGGAACAAATCGATTTCATCTTGGCTATGAGATATTTTGTTACATAATTTCATGGCTTATGCTGTCGAGTTTTGTGGGTCTTCTTTTAAATTATTGAATCTCGATTTCATGTGATTTTTCTTCTTTCCTTTTGCACGAATGATCTTCTCGGGCTAAAGTTTGACTTGTCCTGTATTCATGTGGGGCTTTTCTTCTGTTACCTTTAAGCTCCGAGCAGTATTGGATTTTCCTAACCTGCATGGGCTTCCTCTGACTCATTTGTTATTTTCACACTCTGGATTTCTGATTGTGGAGATGTTAATGTCCACAATTGTCAATTATATTCTTGTTCCTATCTTGTTTTTAATGTGTTACTATCAATTTCTTCTTGAAAAAGAAAAAAAAGAATTATCCATCAGAGCAGACACCCTAGTGTCTGGTTGAAATCTCTTTTGGAGTGCTTATTTGATGATTTCTAAATGTCATTACTGAAATGGGATTGGGGCTTGAGTTTGGTCTTGGATTCAAGTGCCAAATCCAGGTTGAAATAGCAGCCTGGTGGTTTTCTAGTCTGACATCCTTCTTTGTATTTTTGGTGATTTAATACCTTAAGTTTGACTCTCTCGTTATTGTGGCCGGATGTTTGTAATGGCGGGCATGCAAGAGAGTGATACCGTAGTCATACTATTCAGGTGGGTGTCTAGGTGATAGTGTTCATGCTAGTGTGAGAATTAACAAGGCGTCTTTTCTTCTAATCCAACTTTCTCATTACAAGGCTTTGCTTACTTCAAGGTGTCAATGTTGTGCAGTTTATTTACGTGGGCTGTTTTAATATTATATCTTCAGAATGACAACAGCAGATTGCACACAGGAGATGGTTCAGTTGACGTTCATGGAGATCCTGCTGTGAAGGAGAAAACTGGAACTTGGAAAGCATGCCCTTTTATCTTGGGTAATATATCTCGAGTTGGATGGATTTTGTTAGAGAGGTTCATTTTTGTTCTGGGATTTGTAATATAATGCTTGCATGCAGGTAACGAATGCTGCGAGCGCTTGGCCTATTATGGGATTGCTGCTAATCTTGTTACTTATCTAACCCGCAAATTACACGAGGGAAATGTTTCTGCTGCAAGAAACGTTACCACATGGCAGGGCACATGTTATGTCACACCTCTTATTGGAGCTGTCTTGGCAGATGCTTACTGGGGAAGATATAGGACAATTGCTGTTTTTTCCACAATCTACTTCATTGTAAGTATTCATTAAAGCTGCCTTTTTTCTTTTTAGTGGAAATTCTTTGCCACTACTGCTGGACCATATGATTCTGAAACATTCATGCTACAAGCAAGCCGAACCATTTGATATTCAGTTATTATTTAATTGCTGAGTAGTTGACTTAGTTTATCTCATATGTCATGTCTTTTATCTTTTTGCTTGGCCACCACCTCATCAATCTCAGGGTTTTCGGTCACTATCTGAAATTTCCTTTTATTAGCAAAATATAAGATGTGAAATTGTAAGGCAAATAATCGACAAAATATTCCTGTGGGCATTCTGCTGGAAATGATGTGCTGTGTTAATAGGATGCTTTTTCTTCAACCACCTGTAGTATCGTCTCTAGCCATTTAACCTTAATCTCCATCAGATTTTGCCAGATCATGAAGGTTGTTTATGTGGCGAAAGGTAATAATAAATTGAGAGGTTGATCATCAGAGTGGAACAGAACTCTTTGAATTCCCAGAAAGACATTGTTCTTTAGGAATTTAAGGGGTTAAAGAAGATAAGAGAGGATCGTTTTGTAGTACAATTATTCCCATTTAAGTCTTAAAATCTGTTTTTGGTTATTTAGTTTTGTGTATTAAGAAGATCAGCAGGGGGAAACTATAGACTCTTAAAGCAGGAAGGCTTAGGAAGAGATTTAATAAGCATGTACGATACCCAAAAAATTGAAAATAATGTGAGAATAGGGTATGTGTGCTTCTGAAATTGTGATAAACCATGAATTTTTAAGTTTCTAAGCTGTGTTTGAAGCAATTAAATTGTTTATCTGGAATTTATTTGAAGATTTACACTTAAGTTCAATTATAAGGGAAAATTTCATTACAAGGAGAGAAAATTGATATCAAATTGATGAAATTTGAAATATATTGTTCCAATGCCACTTAAATTTTGTTAGAGGTCAATTTTCATTCCCTTGTAAAGAAATTTTCACATTCACAGTTGAATAAATGTTAATTCCAAAATGAGTTCCATAAAATAATTCAGTTGTTCCAAAACATAGCCTTTTTAAGGTAAGATCTGTTGCATGTGCGAGGGGCAGTTAGAAAATGAAGTTTTATCAACTTGTTTGCATTTTATATTTCTTTATGCATTTTATGTTTCTTAGAAACTCCTGTGCTTTTTATGAACTTGTGTGCATTTTATGTTTCTTCTGGAAATGTTGGTTGACGTAAGTCATTACTGGGTCTGGATGAACTTCGTTTTAAGCTATATTTGAAGTAATTTAGGTATTTGTTTGGAATTCATTTGAAAGTTTACACTTAGTTCAATTAGAAGGAGATGAAGTTTTCATTAGAAGAGGAAATTGATGTCCAATTAATGGAATTTGAAATGTAGCCTTTCAATACCACATGAAATGTTGAAGACCAGTTTTCATTCTCTTGTGATGAAATTTTTATAGTTGTGGGTAAACTAAGTATTCATTTCAAAATGAATCCCCAAAAGAAGTCATTTGTTCCAAACATAGACTTAAAGCAAAATCTGTCATATATGTGAGTGACAGCGAAAAAATTAGGTTTTACCAATTAGTGTGCATTTGATTTTTATTTATGCATTCTTCTAAAATGTTGGTTGATAAAGTCATTTTTGTCTAGGGAATGGCTGCTTTAACGCTCTCAGCTTCAGTTCCTTTCTTGAAGCCTGCTGAATGTGTTGGTCCTGTTTGCCCTCCTGCTACACTAGCTCAATATGCGGTATTCTTTTTTGGACTTTACTTTATTGCCCTTGGGACTGGTGGTAT